GGTGCTGGCAGATTACGGGCCTCCCATTGCTGCTGCCAGGCCCGTAATCTGTCATGGGCCCCTGTACCGCCTCCTCATGCTGCTGCCAGGTCCAGAGTGTGTCATGGGTCCCTGTACAGCCTCCCATTGCTGCTGTCTCCATCGCCACACTCTGCCATGTGCCACTTTCAGGTCTCCTCACACTGCTGGTGGGTTCCATTTTGTCATAGGGTGCTGGCAGATTACGGGTCTCCCATTGCTGCTGCCAGGCCCGTAATCTGTCATGGGCCCCTGTACCGCCTCCTCTCATGCTGCTGCCAGGTCCAGAGTGTGTCATGGGTCCCTGTACGGCCTCCCATTGCTGCTGTCTCCATCGCCCACCACTCTGCCATGTGCCACTTTCAGGTCTCCTCACACTGCTGGTGGGTTCCATTTTGTCATAGGGTGCTGGCAGATTACGGGTCTCCCATTGCTGCTGCCAGGCCCGTAATCTGTCATGGGCCCCTGTGTACCGCCTCCTCATGCTGCTGCCAGGTCCAGAGTGTGTCATGGGTCCCTGTACGGCCTCCCATTGCTGCTGTCTCCATCGCCACACTCTGCCATGTGCCACTTTCAGGTCTCCTCACACTGCTGGTGGGTTCCATTTTGTCATAGGGTGCTGGCAGATTACGGGCCTCCCATTGCTGCTGCCAGGCCCATAATGTGTCATGGGCCCCTGTACCGCCTCCTCATGCTGCTGCCAGGTCCAGAGTGTGTCATGGGTCCCTGTACGGCCTCCCATTGCTGCTGTCTCCATCGCCACACTCTGCCATGTGCCACTTTCAGGTCTCCTCACACTGCTGGTGGGTTCTATTTTGTCATAGGGTGCTGGCAGATTACGGGCCTCCCATTCCTGCTGCCAGGCCCGTAATCTGTCATGGGCCCCTGTACCGCCTCCTCATGCTGCTGCCAGGTCCAGAGTGTGTCATGGGTCCCTGTACGGCCTCCCATTGCTGCTGTCTCCATCGCCACACTCTGCCATGTGCCACTTTCAGGTCTCCTCACACTGCTGGTGGGTTCCATTTTGTCATAGGGTGCTGGCAGATTACGGGTCTCCCATTGCTGCTGCCAGGCCCGTAATCTGCCATGGGCCCCCGTACCGACTCCTCATGCTGCTGCTGTTAGGCCGTAATCTGTCATGGCCCCTGTACCGCCTCCTCATGCTGCTGCCAGGTCCAGAGTGTGTCATGGGTCCCTGTACGGCCTCCCATTGCTGCTGCCAGGCCCGTAATCTGCCATGGGCCCCCGTACCGACTCCTCATGCTGCTGCCAGGCCCGTAATCTGTCATGGGCCCCTGTACCCGCCTCCTCATGCTGCTGCCAGGTCCAGAGTGTGTCATGGGTCCCTGTACGGCCTCCTATTGCTGCTGTCTCCATCGCCACACTCTGCCATGTGCCACTTTCAGGTCTCCTCACACTGCTGGTGGGTTGCATTTTGTCATAGGGTGCTGGCAGATTACGGGCCTCCCATTGCTGCTGCCAGGCCCGTAATCTGCCATGGGCCCCCGTACCGACTCCTCATGCTGCTGCCAGGCCCGTAATCTGTCATGGGCCCCTGTACCGCCTCCTCTTGCTGCTGCCAGGTCCAGAGTGTGTCATGGGTCCCTGTACGGCCTCCCATTGCTGCTGTCTCCATCGCCACACTCTGCCATGTGCCACTTTCAGGTCTCCTCACACTGCTGGTGGGTTCCATTTTGTCATAGGGTGCTGGCAGATTACGGGCCTCCCATTGCTGCTGCCAGGCCCGTAATCTGCCATGGGCCCCCGTACCGACTCCTCATGCTGTGACGTTGCAACAAGGTGGAATTCAACCCTACATATGTTAGACCGCCTTTACGAACAGCGAAAGGCCATCACTGATTTCCTGATTTTACAAGCGGATAAAGGTACTCCCCTGTGTAACTTAGATGTCAGCCATTGGCAGCTCATGTGTGACACCTGCCGCTTGCTCAGGCCCTTTGAGGAGGCCACGCTATTCGTGAGTCGGCAGGACTATGGGATGAACGACGTCATTCCTCTGTTGCACATCCTGGAACAAATGCTGTTAACAATGGCTGGTCAGGGTGCGGTAGACGTGGCGCACAGATCTCAACGCCACATGACCCCTGTGGGGGCAGGACAGGAAGAAGAGGAGGAGGTAGAGGAGGACATTGGTGCTCAGAATTTATTGAGTGAAATGGGTGGTTTTTCCACTCAGCGGACAGGAGTGGAGGAGCAGGAGCATCTGGTAGAGGAGGAGGAGGAGACAGAGGACCCAGACGCACCGTGGCAGTATGCTGTGGAGATGGAGGCAGGGAGTCCCTCGCATTCCTTGGCACAAATGGCCCATAGCATGCTCGGTTGCTTGCGTAGCAACAGCCGAATAATAACCATCAGACAGAGGGATGACTTTTGGCTGTCCATCTTGTTGGACCCTCGCTACCGTTCAAAAATGGTGGCCTTTTTCACACCTGCTGAGAGGGAGGCCAAAATAAAGTACTATAAAAACCACCTATATAGTCAGTTGGTCTCTGCCTTTCTGCGCCAACGTCCATCCTCAGACACTGTGGGCCCTGTGCGCTCGCGTTCCGCTGCCATGGCAGCAGGGGAGGGGTGGGGTGGTAGGAGCAGTGGCAGCTCCACCAGCAGCGGCTGCCTCAGTCTGCAGTCGATGATGAGTAGCTTTCTTCACCAGCGCAGTGAGGAAACTACTAACCAGCCGCAGCAGCAGAAGCATCAGGTGGACCTGGAGCAGGACCTCAAACAACAGGCTTGGGCCTACTTGGACAGCACCCTGCCAACCGAGGTAGACAATCCCCTTGACTACTGGGCAACGAAACTTGACCTTTGGCTCCAACTAGCTGAATTTGCCCTTGAAAGGCTGTCATGCCCGGCCAGTAGCGTGGCATCGGAGCGCGTGTTTAGTGCGGCAGGAGGTATTGTAACTCCGCGGAGGACACGACTGTCCACCCAAAGTGTGGAGAGACTCACGTTTGTGAAAATGAATCAGGCGTGGATTAGTCTGGATTTCAAACCACCAGTTCCTGACACAACTGACTAAATCCGCCATGAATCATGCCCCAAACATGTTATTATTTTTAACATAGGTCTCTGTATGGCCTTCAATTTAAGCTGCTTACGCTTCGCCACTCTGCCATGGGCCCCTGTACCGCCTCCTCTTGCTGCTGCCAGGTCCAGAGTGTGTCATGGGTCCCTGTACGGCCTCCCATTGCTGCTGTCTCCATCGCCACACTCTGCCATGTGCCACTTTCAGGTCTCCTCACACTGCTGGTGGGTTCCATTTTGTCATAGGGTGCTGGCAGATTACGGGCCTCCCATTGCTGCTGCCAGGCCCGTAATCTGCCATGGGCCCCCGTACCGACTCCTCATGCTGTGACGTTGCAACAAGGTGGAATTCAACCCTACATATGTTAGACCGCCTTTACGAACAGCGAAAGGCCATCACTGATTTCCTGATTTTACAAGCGGATAAAGGTACTCCCCTGTGTAACTTAGATGTCAGCCATTGGCAGCTCATGTGTGACACCTGCCGCTTGCTCAGGCCCTTTGAGGAGGCCACGCTATTCGTGAGTCGGCAGGACTATGGGATGAACGACGTCATTCCTCTGTTGCACATCCTGGAACAAATGCTGTTAACAATGGCTGGTCAGGGTGCGGTAGACGTGGCGCACAGATCTCAACGCCACATGACCCCTGTGGGGGCAGGACAGGAAGAAGAGGAGGAGGTAGAGGAGGACATTGGTGCTCAGAATTTATTGAGTGAAATGGGTGGTTTTTCCACTCAGCGGACAGGAGTGGAGGAGCAGGAGCATCTGGTAGAGGAGGAGGAGGAGACAGAGGACCCAGACGCACCGTGGCAGTATGCTGTGGAGATGGAGGCAGGGAGTCCCTCGCATTCCTTGGCACAAATGGCCCATAGCATGCTCGGTTGCTTGCGTAGCAACAGCCGAATAATAACCATCAGACAGAGGGATGACTTTTGGCTGTCCATCTTGTTGGACCCTCGCTACCGTTCAAAAATGGTGGCCTTTTTCACACCTGCTGAGAGGGAGGCCAAAATAAAGTACTATAAAAACCACCTATATAGTCAGTTGGTCTCTGCCTTTCTGCGCCAACGTCCATCCTCAGACACTGTGGGCCCTGTGCGCTCGCGTTCCGCTGCCATGGCAGCAGGGGAGGGGTGGGGTGGTAGGAGCAGTGGCAGCTCCACCAGCAGCGGCTGCCTCAGTCTGCAGTCGATGATGAGTAGCTTTCTTCACCAGCGCAGTGAGGAAACTACTAACCAGCCGCAGCAGCAGAAGCATCAGGTGGACCTGGAGCAGGACCTCAAACAACAGGCTTGGGCCTACTTGGACAGCACCCTGCCAACCGAGGTAGACAATCCCCTTGACTACTGGGCAACGAAACTTGACCTTTGGCTCCAACTAGCTGAATTTGCCCTTGAAAGGCTGTCATGCCCGGCCAGTAGCGTGGCATCGGAGCGCGTGTTTAGTGCGGCAGGAGGTATTGTAACTCCGCGGAGGACACGACTGTCCACCCAAAGTGTGGAGAGACTCACGTTTGTGAAAATGAATCAGGCGTGGATTAGTCTGGATTTCAAACCACCAGTTCCTGACACAACTGACTAAATCCGCCATGAATCATGCCCCAAACATGTTATTATTTTTAACATAGGTCTCTGTATGGCCTTCAATTTAAGCTGCTTACGCTTCGCCACTCTGCCATGGGCCCCTGTACCGCCTCCTCTTGCTGCTGCCAGGTCCAGAGTGTGTCATGGGTCCCTGTACGGCCTCCCATTGCTGCTGTCTCCATCGCCACACTCTGCCATGTGCCACTTTCAGGTCTCCTCACACTGCTGGTGGGTTCCATTTTGTCATAGGGTGCTGGCAGATTACGGGCCTCCCATTGCTGCTGCCAGGCCCGTAATCTGCCATGGGCCCCCGTACCGACTCCTCATGCTGCTGCCAGGCCCGTAATCTGTCATGGGCCCCTGTACCGCCTCCTCATGCTGCTGCCAGGTCCAGAGTGTGTCATGGGTCCCTGTACGGCCTCCCATTGCTGCTGCCAGGCCCGTAATCTGCCATGGGCCCCCGTGCCGACTCCTCATGCTGCTGCCAGGCCCGTAATCTGTCATGGGCCCCTGTACCGCCTCCTCATGCTGCTGCCAGGTCCAGAGTGTGTCATGGGTCCCTGTACGGCCTCCCATTGCTGCTGTCTCCATCGCCACACTCTGCCATGTGCCACTTTCAGGTCTCCTCACACTGCTGGTGGGTTCCATTTTGTCATAGGGTGCTGTATGGCCTCCCATTGCTGCTGCCTCCACCGCCACACTGTGGCTCCACACTCTGGTTTTGGCCCCGTGACTGCCCAAATGAGTGAAGTGTGCGGTGATTCTAAGATCGACGGCACTCATCTGCATGTCATACTGACTGACAGTATTATTTCTCTTCCCCAGCAGACTCCAAGGGCATTTAAATTAAAGGTACAGTGTTCTGCACTAATACAAAGGCTCTCTGAAGCCTAGAAACACCCTTTTATAAGTTAAATTCGCAGCGAATATATTCGACTCGAATCAAATTTATTCCGCGAATTCGCCGAATCAGCCGAATCGAATTTTTGAATAATTCGCTCATCTCTAGGTATAAGCATTAAGAGTGAGTTATAATAACCTAATCACAATACCTGCTACCATTTTAGAGCAATTACTTTTTTCTGTCACTCTCTGATGTCTTCTTGCACAATTGCGTACTCTTAATTTTGACAATATACTCTAAATCCAGTCTGCTGTCCATATTTGGTGCCTTTGTTTCTAGTTCTGTGCAGGATATACAGTCAGGTCCATAAATATTGGGACATCGACACAATTCTAACATTTGTGGCTCTATACACCACCACGATGGATTTGAAATGAAACGAACAAGATGTGCTTTAACTGCAGACTGTCAGCTTTAATTTGAGGGTATTTACATCCAAATCAGGTGAACGGTGTAGGAATTACAACAGTTTGCATATGTGCCTCCCACTTGTTAAGGGACCAAAAGTAATGGGACAATTGGCTTCTCAGCTGTTCCATGGCCAGGTGTGTTATTCCCTCATTATCCCAACTACAATGAGCAGATAAAAGGTCCAGAGTTCATTTCAAGTGTGCTATTTGCATTTGGAATCTGTTGCTGTCAACTCTCAAGATGAGATCCAAAGAGCTGTCACTATCAGTGAAGCAAGCCATCATTAGGCTGAAAAAACAAAACAAACCCATCAGAGAGATAGCAAAAACATTAGGCGTGGCCAAAACAACTGTTTGGAACATTCTTAAGAAGAAGGAACGCACCGGTGAGCTCAGCAACACCAAAAGACCCAGAAGACCACGGAAAACAACTGTGGTGGATGACCGAAGAATTCTTTCCCTGGTGAAGAAAACACCCTTCACAACAGTTGGCCAGATCAAGAACACTCTCCAGGAGGTAGGTGTATGTTTGTCAAAGTCAACAATCAAGAGAAGACTTCACCAGAGTAAATACAGAGGGTTCACCAAAAGATGTAAACCAATGGTGAGCCTTAAAAACAGGAAGGCCAGATTAGAGTTTGCCAAACGACATCCAAAAAAGCCTTCACAGTTCTGGAACAACATCCTATGGACAGATGAGACCAAGATCAACTTGTACCAGAGTGATGGGAAGAGAAGAGTATGGAGAAGGAAAGGAACTGCTCATGATCCTAAGCATACCACCTCATCAGTGAAGCATGGTGGTGGTAGTGTCACGGCGTGGGCATGTATGGCTGCCAATGGAACTGGTTCTCTTGTATTTATTGATGATGTGACTGCTGACAAAAGCAGCAGGATGAATTTTGAAGTGTTTCGGGCAATATTATCTGCTCATATTCAGCCAAATGCTTCAGGACTCATTGGACGCCGCTTCACAGTGCAGATGGACAATGACCCAAAGCATACTGCAAAAGCAACCAAAGAGTTTTTTAAGGGAAAGAAGTGGAATGTTATGCAATGGCCAAGTCAATCACCTGACCTGAATCCGATTGAGCATGCATTTCAGTTGCTGAAGACAAAACTGAAAGGAAAATGCCCAAAGAACAAGCAGGAACTGAAGACAGTTGCAGTAGAGGCCTGGCAGAGCATCACCAGGGATGAAACCCAGCGTCTGGTGATGTCTATGCGTTCCAGACTTCAGGCTGTAATTGACTGCAAATGATTTGCAACCAAGTATTAAAAAGTGAAAGTTTGATTTATGATTATTATTCTGTCCCATTACTTTTGGTCCCTTAACAAGTGGGAGGCACATATGCAAACTGTTGTAATTCCTACACCGTTCACCTGATTTGGATGTAAATACCCTCAGATTAAAGCTGACAGTCTGCAGTTAAAGCACATCTTGTTCATTTCATTTCAAATCCATTGTGGTGGTGTATAGAGCCAAAAATGTTAGAATTGTGTCGATGTCCCAATATTTATGGACCTGACTGTATATATTTGTGCATACATAGATGTTTGCAGCAGGGACGGTACAAGGATTTGTGTCTACACTGCATTTTGGTGCCCCCCCCCCCGCTCCACAAGGCAACCCCCCACCCTCACTGTCTACAGCCTCACTGGTATAATGTAATGGGGCACAGTGTGAAGGATGTCACACAGCATTGAGCTTTGCTGAACTGGCACTAAATTCCCCCAGCACAAATCTCTCCCACCTCCAATCCACCTTCCCAGCACAACAAAATCCCCCCAAATTTGTTCTCCCAGCAAAAAATACTCTCCCCACTTCTAGCACCGATCCTTTCTACCAAGTCCTCCATTCCAGTACAACTTTCCCCCTTATCATTCCCAGCACAAATCATCTTTCCCCCAAATTCCCTGTGCCAGAAGACTGCTCCACAGTTCTATTATAAATCCTCCCACCCAAATCCTCATTCCAGTACAATTCCTCCCAAACAGAAATCCTCTCCCCTTGTAATACAAATCAACCAACAATACTTCCCAACTGTCCCACTTTTTTGTGGGACCTTCCTGAGATAAGGACAGAATTTTGCAACGCTGGCAACAGCATGCAGTGCAGGAAACCGACATACTGAGTGCATTTCTCACACCACATTCAAAACGCACTGCGGTTCCGAAAGTAGTGAGTCTTAGTGTTAGCTTAATGACACCCCCCAAACATAGGTTGCAAATGTAATGCGTTTACCTGCACCAAATCAGTAGCACCATGTGATCTTATTCCTGTGTGTCTTTAAACTCTTGGTGCAGTCCGGCACAATTTCAGCCTTTTCAAATGAATGGGCTGAAATTGCAGTGCAGCTGGAATGCATGTGAATTGCACAGTGTGTTCCTGTGCGATTCATAGTGTGTACCGGCCCTGAGACCTGGAGCTCATTGCTGAAAAAAGTTCCACCTTAACTTGCCTGTCAGGGGGGCGCTAGTGTGGACACCTGGAGGAATTACCCCGTATCTCTAGCGGGGTGCCCAAGGTACCAGATGCCATGATCGTCCCCTGTGTAGCAGCCAGCATCTCTTTGACTTGGATAAGAGTATGCTGTGCTAGGGGGCACTTTGGGGGGTGAGAGGACTTGTGCTGAGGGGGGGTAGGGGCTTGGTCAGATTTCACATCCAACCTGTCTTCTAGTACAAGTCCTTTCTACTCCCAAAACACCCCCTAGCACATACAGTATCCTCTTCCTTACCCTCTCCCACCCTCACCCCCAAATCACTACAAGTATTAATTTTGTCAGCTTCCACCCCCCTTCCCTATGATCACAGACCTCAGATCAGTGTGGAACATGCAGAGTGGTATCCCTCCTCCTCACCGACCCCTCCTCTTGTCTGTGTACATGAAGACATCAGAGCCAAGGAGGAGGAGGCTGCGGCTTCACTTTATCTGCACTGTCTGCCATGTGCCAGTGCAAAAAGCAGCCTGCTGGAAGACATGCCAACTGCCACACAGAGCTGAGATCGAAGCACATGGGACATTAAACAGGCCACAAAAGCTGCGGGTGGGTGTGCCCACACTAGTGCACCCCTGCCAGGCAAGTCACTGCTCCAGCAGAATTCAGCCTGGATTACCGGCATGGTGCTGGCTAATGCAGGACGTATGGGATTTACCCCCCCCCCCCCCATCTTGGTGGCCTCAGGCGGCTGCCTGAGGAGCCAAGTGTGTCAGAGAGGACAAAGCTTGTGGCTCTACTAAAGAGGAAGGATGGGAGGAATACGTAGCATGGTGTCCTCTGGTATGGACTCTTAGTACCATTTAGGGATAGCCTGTCTATGATTAAAATCAGGGTTCTCTCATTATTTGGGGGGCTTTCTTTGAAAATGAGGGGTTATAAATAACCCCACTGTGTCATTTTGGGGTGTCAGTTTTGGAATTTTAAGGCAGGGAAAGAGACTTGCTTAGGAGGGAAAGGTAGGCAGTACATTAGGAACAGGTTCCTGCCAAGTAGATATAGTCTAGGAATGCTTCTAGACATCTGTGGAGTTGGCCTGGAATACTGGGACAGGACAAAAGGAGAATTTTCAGTCTTTTGGTCTGGTGAGGTTCTGCGCACAGCACTGGCTAGGACTGCATCATTTAGTCATTTCTGTGAGGTCTCAAGGTGCACGCTGAAGGAAGCATGCCTCAAGTATCCTCCAACAGTATATGTAAGCCCTGTATTCTTAAACTGCCTTGTGACTGATGTGTATAAGTGTCTTACTGTATGGAGTTAAACTTTGAAAAAGGAATACCAAGCTGTAATACCTGCTGATTACTCATAGAAAACGCTTAAAGCCCCACTCACACTTAGCAATTCCTCCTGTGATTCCAAATCTTGCTAAAATCACTGTAAAATGAATGGTGTATTTGGGTGCCATACATTCTTAATGGCACCCTAAAAACACGTGTAGGGCAGACTATTTGAAATAATGGGTTGCCTTATGCCTAACATGCGTAAATGCGTGTAGATTGCCCCCCAAAAATTGCAAGAGGGAACACATGTTCCAGCAATGCAAAGTGTGAACGGGGGTCTGAAGGAGACATTGTGTCATCTGTTCCCTTAACACATACAGTCAGGTCCATAAATATTGGGACATTGACACAATTCTGCAGACTGTCAGCTTTAATTTGAGGGTATTTACATCCAAATCAGGTGAACGGTGTAGAAATTACAACAGTTTCCATATGTGCCTCCCACTTGTTAAGGGACCAAAAGTAATGGGACAATTGGCTTCTCAGCTGTTCATGGCCAGGTGTGTGTTCTTCCCTCATTATCCCAATTACAATGAGCAGATAAAAGGTCCAGAGTTCATTTCAAGTGTGCTATTTGTATTTGGAATCTGTTGCTGTCAACTCTCAAGATGAGATCCAAAGAGCTGTCACTATCAGTGAAGCAAGCCATCATTAGGCTGAAAAAACAAAACAAACCCTTCAGAGAGATAGCAAAAACATTAGGCATGGCCAAAACAACTGTTTGGAACATTCTTAAAAAGAAGGAACGCGCCAGTGAGCTCAGCAACACAAAAAGACCCGA